TATTGTGGTTTTAATGTTTTACCTTAATGTAGTTTATTCTTGTCCTTAAAATTTATTTATAACCGATCCTCTGGTCAGGATGTTAATACTGATACTGTAGTCTGAATTACCATACGTCTCTTAAATATTAACATGTTACTTGGTTAATTGTAAAATCAATAAAAAGTTTTGCTAAATTGATTTTCGAACTAATTCTCAAAGAATTATTCCAATAAAGATTCCTGCATAATGAACATTTTCTAATAAATGTCATCTGTCAATTGTTATTTACGTAATTAAAATATCAGTTTTGTTTTATTCTAAAGCATCGTGATGAAGCAGATTAAGAATATATCCAGAGTCGTCGAAATGCTATTGACTTTAAATCTGAAATATCGTAAAAAATTACATATGGTACTTAAAAGAAACGTACCTGAAAATTAAATTATCATATAATAATCAAATTAGAATTTTGAATTAAATAAAATATTATACAGATATAAAAAATTATTATTTATAGGAATAAATTATAAAAAATAAAATATTACTTCTTCTAGTTAGAAAAGATATTTACAACAGAAAATATTACATTTTAATTTACCAATGTAATAAACATATTGATATATAATAATCAATTGTAATTATTATTTTTATCTAGAAAAAAATGTACATATACTGTATATATCGTAATATAAAATATTTTACTTATTAATAATATTAGAATTCATATTGATCATAATTAAAATAATGATGGTATTCTCAATTCCCTTATTACATAATACTGTACAGTATAAAGATATCCACGAAATATTTATTACGTAATCATTTTTACATAATAAAAAAACAAAACCCTGGCAGAAATAGAAAACAATTTCTTCATTACCTAATTAACCACACAATTCAGGTTTTATACCGTTGATCTAAATTTAAAGAAAAATTTGGCACCTATGGCTTCATTTTTACTTTATGGAATATAGTTAACGTTTACCATAGCGTATTTAAAATGAAAGGGTTTAATCAGTTATCTTCTTACGTCTTATATAACTTTGTTGCTTGTAAAAGTAAAAATTTAATTTTATAAAAGTAAACACACTGTAATATGAACTTGAAAATTAAAAGCGCGGAAGTTTAATTAAATTGAAAAATATTGTGCCAACATCTTATGTGTGTAGTATGAAACCAAGGAGAATGCATGCGCTTTTTTCGTTTACACTAACGTGCTTGCAAATATTATAACGCCATATGAATATTTTTATGTTCGTTGGCGGCAGGCCGTTCTTATTTGAAACAGTTCTTATATCCATGAAATCTGTTCGACGTTTTTGGTGAAATCTCACTTGACCTTCCGACTTGTAGTTCTATTCAATTAATGATATCATTTTATGTACTAAATTATTAAAATAAAAATTAATAGTACATAAGGTCAAATTCACAATAAACATGTAGTGCTGTTAAGAAAAGTTCGCTGTATATAATTCA